TGCCTTCCGGGATTTTGGGGAAGGGAAAACCCTGCTCCCTACAATGTTTAAAATTTTTCATTCCCTCCCATCAACCCACTTTCCCCTGTTTTCCATATGTTTTGGTGAACAAACCTCCCCCCCGAAATCCTTGGGGACTGCACTCCATCATTGGGTTAATCCTCGCTGCCACTTGTGAGTTTTTATTTATGTGAAACTCAGAATGTGTTGCTCGGGTGCTGTCACACGCCGATAGGTCTGTTTCTCTATTTTGGAATCCTTGTCTCAGATGGAACTCATTTCACACTCCCTTTCCCGTGCTCTCCTCCTCTTCTCCCAAGGATCTTGCAAATCTGAGAATGTCAGACACTTCCAGAACCACCTTTGGGGGCAGGAGAGCAATCCCACCCAACAACTCCAATGCAGCAGAAGACGACCTCCCCACAGAGGAGCTGCAGGGCCTGGTGCCCCGGGGTGTCAACCTGCAAGGTAGGAATAAGCCATTGCATCCAGGCAGAGCCCCGGCTGGCCTCTCTGCCCCCGTGGATGCTGCTACGTGAGCATCCTCTGTCTCGGCAGAGCTCCAAGAAAGGATGCCCCTGCTGGTATCTGCAAGAAAGGACTCCCAAATCCTCTTCTGAGTGGGAAAAGCACCAGAGACCCAKCTCCTTTACCCAGTTCTGCCACTTATTGACCTTGTAACCCCCGGGGAAGTCTCTTTGTCTTTCCACTTTCCAACTACATTTCCTCCACAAAACAAAGGTGCTGAATGAATGCRCCTTTGAGCAACCTCGACACTTTTGAGAATGCTCTCTAGCTGGAAGATTCCACTTCCAAAATATTGTGTCTGTTTTTTGATTGTCTGGCTTGCACCTCCTTCCATCTCCCTCCTCCCTCCTCCATCCATTGCTGTGAATTTCAGAGCTGGCGAGAGGTGCCAGATTCTGACAGTAATAGAGATGGAAGCCCTCTATTTGTCTCTAGATCAGCCAGGGGAGCAGGCAAGGCAAGCTGTTTCCCCTGCCTCTTGCCTCCTCCTGATCCCATGGGAGCTGCTCTGGGTATGGCAGCCACCAGCTGACCTTCTCTCAGCCCTGTCAACTGTGAYGGGCCCAGGTGCCAGAGCTGGCTTGGTGATGCGGGTGCCATTCCCTTGGGCCACTGCAGGGATGTTCAGATTCATGACCCTGAATGGCATCTAGCTGAGAGCTCTTTTTGCAGGATCATTTATGCACCMAAATCCAATTTTTCTCTTTAGGGTTCTCTGTGTTGCATCTCRTTGGGGGATAAACACCTTCTTGCTGGGGTTGGTGAGCACCGTCACTCTGTGGCTGTGTGTGTGAAAACCCAGGTGGAGGCAGAGCTCTGGGTAGCAGCGAGAAAGGATGGCATTGGTTACTTACAAATCTAGCATGYCAGAGAAATTTTCAGACCTTGCAGACAGGTTGGGTTCTGCCACTATCACRTTTAGACAATTTGATATCAAACTGTGTAAACAGAGAGGTATTCAGCAGGTACCCTCCAGATTTGGGGTAGAGACTCACAAAACACAAGGTCATCTTCAATTGAACACAGAGGACAGTTTTGGAAGGAGCAAGATGAACTCATTTGAAACTAACTCTCCAAACTAGGGCCACACTCTAAAACCTCACTAATAGAACCACAGAGCGGAGTTGGGAAAGGACATGTTAATCAGTTTATCTCAACCCCGGTGACAGAGGTAGTTTGGAAACAGATCCAAAGCAAGCAGTTCACGCCTTCACTGCCCAGACCAGAAGTCTTTTTTTTCTTTTTAAGAACTGAAACAAAATTGGAAAGCAGACATCCAACTATCAAGGAGGTCACCTTGGAGAATTCCATTCTCTAGCAAAATTCCCCTCTGGCAGAAAAGACACTGGGCACCTAGACTCTAGAATAAGTGGGTAGTAGGAGCAGAAAGAGCAAGGGGCACCATCATCCTTACCAGGATGGGTGAGGAGAAATGGAATCCTCCCACAGAAAGTGCAGGGGAGCAAAGAGCCCTGTTGTGCAGGGGGCAGAGAACCGAGATTCCAGTCCTAGGACCCAGGGCAAGTCATCTTGTGCTGTGGTCTCAGTTTACCCATCAGCAAAACAAAAGTAACACCTTATAGGCTGTCCTGAGGATCAGATGGATAGTGTCTGTAGTAGGTCTAACCTATAGCACATGATTAATAAATATTTATTGATTTGGAGCATGTAAATAATCATACCCCTACAAGATCAGAATAACAAGTATCCAGTGATCCTACAGGAAATATACAACACTTTGTAAATCTGAAGTCAGAACAAAATGTTGCCAATAAGGCATCAAAACTGTCAGAGAACATGTTCAGGTCAGGTAATTTAAAAAAAAATCAGACATAACTGGTTTTGTTTGTTTGTGTTGGGAGGTAGGGGTAACAGAGAGGTTGACTCAATTATTTTGAAAAAATATATATATTTGGCATTATTTACTTGGCAGTCATAGGCCCGCAACCCAARTGACACCCTGGGATAGTCATAGAGATCCTGACACAAGGACATGAAAGTCCAGTGACTGCAGAATGATTTGAATGAATGAACAGTCACTTGCAAATCGAATGACCCRTCACCCCTACCATCATAATAATCTTATTTTTAATGACAAGTTCCAGACTTCAAAAACATGCATTCATTTAATATTTTCACACAGGTGAGCTAGTCACTGATGCTGTGGAGGACATGCAGTTGATTCCTCTGAATCAACTAGGAATCATAGCTGTCAAGTCCCAAATGAGGAGGACAGAAAACAATATCAGTATACAAAAAATCTAAACAAGAAGGTGACTCTGTACATTTCAGATTTCTGATTGTCCAAAAAGCAGATTTCTGACACTAAATATATCAAGTTCTCTCCAAGTTATACCTGCTAAGAGACTAATGCTAGGAAGGCAAAGTCATTTCTTCTGTTTTGTTTGTTTGATGCCATCTTATTGCAGTTCACCCAGTAGCCACTAGTGGCCTCCAAGAGCACTCTTCACTCCCTGGTCACCTATCAGGATGTCTTTGGCTCTGGAACACAAAGCC